GGATTTGCAGGCCATTACCTTTTGCAAGCCATGGAGCACATGGAGCCTCAAGTAAAACAAGTTTGGTAAAACAGTATACCAAAATCTGCCTTTAGTGGTGGATATTACTGAGGTGGGTTTGAACCCAAAATGACAAAACAAGAAGCAGCATTAATACTAAGGGTAAGTCCTACTGCCAATAAAAGAAAAATAAGAGATGCTCACTGATGAATTATACTCTTAAATCATAGCAACCAAAATCAGTGAAGCTAGAGATTTACTAGAAGGTCAAGCTAAAAAATGAAGTAAATGTATGAAGAATTTTAAGTTCATTTTAGTTTATGTATATAAGAACCAAGTTTTTATAATAAAACGCCTCAGAGCTACAATTCCTTTTTAATTTCTGATTCTGATCGTTGTACTTTCATTAAGTATGTTAACATAAAGGGAAGCTGGGTTAAGGGTATATAGAACTCTGTGTACTATTTTTACAACTTTTCTGTAAGTCAAAAATTATTGCTGGGTGTGATGGCTCACGCCTGTAATCCCAGCACTTTGGGAGGCCGAGGCAGGTGGATTACCTGAGGTCAGGAGTTTGAAACTAGCCTGTCCAACATGGCAAAACCTCATCTCTACTAAAAATACAAAAATTAGCCAGGCACCATGATAGGCACCTGTAATCCCAGTTACTAGGGAGGCTGAAGCAGGAAAATCGCTCGAACCCGGGAGGAGGAGGTTGCAGTGAGCTAAGACCCCCCACTACACTCCAGCCTGGGCAACACAGGGAGACTTCATCTCAAAAAACAAAACAAAGCATTATTGCAAAATAAAACATCTTAAAAATAATGCAAGCTCAAGGATAGGATAAGTGTACTAAGTTCCAAGTGCATAGTCACACCATGGGGCCAAAACAACAGCCACAACCACAACCACAACAATTAGCACTCTGCGCCAGGCACTGTTCAAAGTACTTTACATATCGTGTATTGTTAAATCCCCACAATGCTATGAGGTGGATACTATTTACTCCCATTTGCAGGTTAGAAAAATGAGTCATATTTTATCAATGTTATACAACTAGTAAGTGGCAGAGTCAAGAGCTGAACCCAGGTAGTGTGAAGTCAACAAGAGGACTAGAAAAAATATATATAGATGTTTCCATTTATCAGGTTCATGCTAAGTTTTCAAGACCATGAAGTCTTGAAGTCATAAACATCTTCGAATCATCAGCACCAAAATACCAAATATTTTAAAACCAATTAAGAGCCACACCAGAGAGGATGCTTTACAACTCAAGTGTGTAGTGTATGCAATAATAAGGACTTTCCGGGGTTTTGTAGCATGTGTCTTTTGTGTAGAATCCAATATCAGGGGCCAGGCGCAGTGGCTCATGCCTGTAATCCCAGCACTTTGGGAGGCCAAGGCAGGCGGATCACTTGAAATCAGGAGTTCAAGGCCAGCCTGGACAACATGGTGAGAACTTGTTGCTACAAAAATACAAAAATTAGCCAGGCGTGGTGGCATGCACCTATAATTTATGCTACCCAGGAAGCTAAGACAGGAGAATCACTTGAACTCAGGCGGAGGAGGTTGCAGTGAGCTGAGGTCCTGCCACTGCACTGCAACCTGGGCAACACAGTGAGACCTCATCTCAAAGAAATAAAAATTTTTAAAAAAGAAATCCAATATAGGAAGAAAGGCTGACTGTCTTGGGATCAATCTTTGTTAAATTGTTTTGAAATGGGGAGTATATTGTTTTCTATACAACATGGAAATCCTCCTATAATCTATATGATAAGTCATGATGTAAACTAGAAAGTTAGTCTCATTGCTTATTGTCATGGTTGTATTTTCCATTTCTGAAAGATGATTTTTAAAACTCTCTGAGAAGGAAAAGCTTCAGAATTACTACTCTAAAACCATTAGAAAACATATAATTTTACTTTAATCAATTTCCAGCACAAACTTTAAATTGTAAAAACTGTATACCAAAGCAAAAGTGTTATGTGGGTGTCTCAATTCGATTGTGACAAGTAAAATTCAAATATCAAATTGTTTTGAAATTCTAACTGCTAAAATGCTTTCGGGCATAACGAGTTCTGGTTAATTTTAGAGCATCAAATGAAGGAATACCTGAAGTAAGGCAATCTATCCAATACAAATCAAGTAAAGGAAATGTCATATTATTCAAAAATGTCGGGCTAGGCCCGGCGGCTCATGCCTATAATCTCAGCACTTTGGGAGGCCGAGGCGGGTGGATCACGAGGTCAAGATATCGAGACCATCCTGGTCAACATGGTGAAACCCCGTCTCTACTAAAAATGCAAAAATTAGCTGGGCGTGGTGGCGTTCGCCTGTAGTCCCAGCGACTCGGGAGGCTGAGGCAGGAGAATTGCCTGAACCCAGGAGGCGGAGGTTGCAGTGAGCCGAGATCGCGCCATTGCACTCCAGCCTGGGTAACAAGACTGAAACTCCATCTCAAAAAAAAAAAAAAATGTCATAAACATATTTTTTAAATGGGAAGCATACCTATAAAAAGAAGAGAAAAAATGATATCTATATAAAAAGAAGTGACAAACATTTTATTAAAAATGATTGTTATCTAGATATGCTATGCCATCGGCAGACCAGTAAAATACATCCAGTAAAAGGAATGTTGAGACAAAGAAGTATGACTATACCTGGTAACCATATTTTGAATATTATACATAAACAATTGGGATTATTTTTTGTGAGGCTGTCCAAAATGAACCCTCCTTCTACGTAGACTGAAAAGACAAGAACATCACTTCAAAAGACTGACTACGCAATCATAAAAAAGAATGAGTTCATGTCCTTTGCAGGGACGTGGATGAAGCTGGAAATCACCATTCTCAGCAAACTAACACAGGGACAGAAAACCAAACACTGCATGTTCTCTCTCTCTTTTTTTTTTTTTTTTTTTTTAGAAATGGGGTGTCACCATGTTGGCCAGGCTGGTCTTGAACTCCTGACCTCAGGTGATCCACCCATCTCAGCCTCCCAAAGTGCTGGGATTACAGGTGTGAGCCACCGCGCCCGGCTCCCGCATGTTCTCTCTCACAAGTAGAAGTTGAACAATCAGAACACATGGACACAGGGAGGAGAACATCACTCACCAGGGCCTGTCAGTGGGTAGAGGGCGAGGGGAAGGAGAGCACTAGGACAAATACCTAATGCATGCAGGGCTTAAAACCTAAATGACAGGTTGATGGGTGCAGCAAACCACCATGGCACATGTATACCTATGTAACACACCTGCACATTCTGCACATGTATCCTAGAATTTAAAGTAAAAAAAAAACCAAACTGACTGAGTCACAAGATTATGAGTCACAAGATTATGGAGATATAATGATCTTTATAGCTTAGCACATATATTTTTTTAAAATCCAAATTGTGAGCCTTATCAAGTTAAATTATGTTCCTTTGATTTTAAATTATTCCTTCAAAAATTATTTGATAATAGTATAATTTCAAGTGTGACTAGCACATGGTAAAAATGGTAATAAGCTTTCTCAATCGCTATAAGCAAATCACCACCAACATAAACAAGAGTATCACATTCTTGAGAAGAAATGTGCAACTCAAAGACCATTATAAGCTATTTTGGGGTGGAGCAGTTTTTAAAATTTCAACATGTCTAAGATAACTTCCTCAGCATAGCAAAAATAGAGATTTTAATCCTTTGTGTCCAATAACACATTCTGTCCTTAAAACGAAAAAGTACATTTTATTAATGAACTACTGCCTTTATGAAACAACAATAAATATAGAAACATTTTGCTTTAAAATGTTAATATTACTATTTAGATTTTAATAAAAATAAAATAAAATGTATTAATTATATAATATAAATATATTCCAATAACATGATTCAATCATATATAATTTAATAATAAATATATTTTATATTAATCAACATTATTTTAAATCTTAAAAAATTGGAAATAAAAAAATATTTAACAATAAGAGAATAATTCAACTGTGGTAGCACAGTAAAATGGAATATTTTGCAACCATTAACAGCATGGAAAAATCCTTGTTATGAGTGGGTAAAAAGCAGGAATCAACAAGTATATACAATATCCTCCCAAACATGTCCTTAAAGAATATACATAGAAAAAACACAGGAGATTAATATGCTAAAATATTACTAGTGTTACCCTTGAGAGAGAGAATTATAAATGATTTTTCCATAATTTAAAAACCTCTACAACCTTTATAATTGTTTATTGGGAATGTTAAAAACCTTATTTCCTTACAGATCCAGTGAACAGCTACAGAATTTTCATATATTTTGTTTCAGAAGCCACCTTTTCAAGAAGTAATTTCCGTTACACAATTTGAAATGTTAACATAAAAGGATGCTTCTTGGTTTATACTTTTTTTTTTTTAATAGAGATAGGATTTCTCCATGTTGCTCAGGCTGGTCTCAAACTCCCGACCTCAGGTGATCCATCCACCTCAGCCTCCCAAAGTGCTGGGATTACAGGCATGAGCCATGGTGCTCAGCCAGTTTATACTTTAACTGCTCACATAGAAGTACACATTTTAATAAAATCTATTAAAATCCCTAATTTAATAAGAAATTTCATTTCACCTCAATTATGAGTCACCATAATAAAGGTATAGCTTATGTATACTGTGAAACACTGCAATCAGAAAGTACAATAAAATTTCAAATATTTATTTTTAGTATACTATATTGTGAAACAGAATATATGTCCATGTGCCAGAATACACATATTTAATCAGAAGTGTCCATAAAATTGCCATAGGACACTATTCAAGTAAAAACCCAATATACATTTAAATTCTTAACTTTCTCTGAGCCAAAAGTGCTTTAAAACAATACATGATTAAGAAAAAAAATACAAGATTAGGTTTGTAGGCAATGTAACTAAAAATTCAAAGTTAAAACCTTAAATAAATAAATACTTGAAATACTATTGTGAAAAAAATGCTGTTGTGATTACAAAAAACGTTATCCACTGACTTACCGAAGATAGTTCATCACATCCCAGCAACGTATAGTAATCTTCAGTATCTTCTGACCTGTAATTCAGAATCGCATCCATTTAGGTGATTTAGTTAGCTCTTCTTCCCTCAGAAACAAGAGGCACAGTGGGCTTCGAAATAACAGGAAAAAACTCTTTTACAGCAGCACGTTTCAAACAGCAAAAACTAGCTTTAAGACTGGCCACAGTCACTACACCAGATGTCATCCTAGACCTTTGTAAACTCTGCCTCTCATTGGCTGTTTACAGAGAAGAAAAGAACAGTCCACGTGTCTATTATTGCAGTGCTGCCTGGGATCTGTAGTTTGAGTTTATATAAATGCTGCACATGAACCATTTGTTTTATGAGCTAATAAAGACTGTCCATTTTCAGAAGCTTGCCACATTCGCCACCTCTCCATAGCCTATACATTTTTGTTTTTATCATTTAAAGGAAAAAAAAAGAAAATTTGAAGCAATGTGGTAAAATCTTAGGATGTGTTCATTAGGGTAGTGGGAGCTTTTCTGAGCATTTAAAATATTTCGTTTTATTTATTTATTTATTTTCAGACAGGGTCTTGCTCTGTCACCCATGCTGGAGTGCAGTGGTGCAATCTCAGCTCACTGCAACCTCTGCCTCCCAGGCTCTAGCAATCCTCCCACCTCAGCCTCCAGAGTAGCTAGGACCACAGGCACACACCACCATGCCCAGCTAAATTTTGGTTTTTGTTTTGTGTTGGTTTTGTTTTGTTTTGTTTTGTTTTCAGAGAAGGAGATTTTGCCATGTAGCCCAGCCTGGTCTTGAACTCGTGAGCTCAGGGAGATCTGCCTGCTTCGGTCTCCCACTGTGCCAGAATTACAGGTGTGAGGCACGGTGCCCAGCCAATAACAGTTTTGATTTTTATGGAGCTTACGTTCTGATGGAGGAAAACAACTGAAAAACATGAAAAAAA